AGATTTTAAAAACAACCTTGCGATTATTCACATTTGTTTAAGAACATAATCTAGCTCTTTTGTTAATGGATTGATGTAAAAAGCAGTTTTCGTCTATTTTATCACCTGACAGTGGTTAATTAACTTCCATATTTAACTGGATTACAATGCCATTTATGTTGTATACAGGATCTGGATATTAATAATATTACAACATACAAGAAGAACATAATGGCTTTGTCGGATGGAGGAAAGCTGTACCGAACGGATCTTGCTCTTATTCTCTGTGCTGGGGACAACTAGAGTTGGTGGTCAGAACCACTTGCTAGCGATACATTGTATCTCAAAAAAATAACTGTGCGCTATAAGGGAGTAGGCTGTATTTTCTTTTATATCTGTAAATTTAACTGCATATAGATAATTATCCAGGATGTGTAGCTCGTTCTTTTCAGCTTGTTTCTATACTGTTTGTAATGTACAGTTTTTGTAACTATATGATTGAAAAGGAGAATGTCTATGCTTAGGCCAGTCAGTACACCCAATGTAAAAAAATAAATAAATAAACCTAACATTCCTGTTTTCATAAATACAGTTGGACAATATTTCCCTAAAAATTCAACCAGGATTAATCTCTATTATTCTAGTCTCTGACGTGTAAATACACGTATGTCTGAATAAGAAAATCGTACATGACAAGCCAAGCATTCTTATTTTAGACAATCACAGGGCTGTCCCACAAAGTATTTCTAAGCTATATTTCCAACTATTAGGAGGAATGTGCTTTTGCATCTAAAATACTCACCAAAGTATCAATAAATAGTTAATTATGGCTTTATAAAGTTAACAGTCTCTCACTAGAGAAGATTTAGTTCACTAATCAATGTCTACTGCTTAAATCCATACAAAACTACTGGTTCAAGTTGATTTGGCAACAAGATAAGGTAGAATCAGATGACACATAAATCTGTCTGATTCTATGCCTATATTTCCAACAAGCCTACTGTCAGAGTAAGACCTTAATCCATTTTCTAAACTGTTTTCATGTGTTGTAGATTATAATTATTCTAGTAAACTGCTGTTTTATGTCATATTCTGTGTAATCTGATTAAATTTAATATATGGAGTGTCCTGGTGTCTAGTTTTCATACGTCCTGGATTTTCTTTCTAGGTAGAACTGTTCATTTCCACCAAGGGTATCTGCTGCCTCTGAAAATATTTTTTTCTAGCTCTAACAACTCTATTTTTTACTATATAATTAAATTTTAATGTAAAATCCGTAGCATCCTGATTACTGAATGTTATATCATCAATACTTTTGTGTACTATGTGGACTCTATATTTCATATTGAGATCAGCATTCAAAATAGTTCTATTTCTATCTGCAAATAGTTTCAAATGAGTTAAAAAAATAACATTGAAGAGAAATGTTAATGTAATCATTTATCTTATATAGCAAGGGAGATTCTAAAACATTCTTTAACACACATCCAAGTAACAGTTTCACGTATTTGTAGCTAGAATATCCTATACTGGTTATAGTTGACATGTAATGGTTGGTGATTTCGGATTCTTTGTGAAACAGAAAGCTATGAGAGATGTGGCTGTGTGAAATGTACAAAGTTACTGCCTGAGAGTTAATGATGGTTCTGGGTCAGCTTGAATGTCACCATTCTGTAAATTCAACGTTTATTTTTACAATTCATAAAAATAACAAAAAATGTGAACTATCTCTTTCCCTCAACAATGAACAGAAAAGACATCTGCCAAAAACTAAAATTTATCAAATGATGTTAAGTGAGTGGTAGATTGGCTTTGCCTCTAGCATGTAAATGGAAGCACTTACATTAGACCGAATTTAACTACTAAGATTAAATAAAGAAAATAACCTTAATCTCTTGTATTTGTTTATTCTTTGAAATGTCAGTTGATGTATAATCCAGGTAGAAATGCAGGATGCTCAAATTATTACAGCCTAAGGGATCTGAATAAATGCCAACTTGACTCAATGAATTATTAGATAGATGCCTCACTGAGTTAAGGGGTATCTCTGATGTTAAGATTAACAAAGAAATCTCAAAATACCCAAACATTTTGGGTTTTTTGCCCAACTGGCATAGTCAAATATTTCTTCCTGGGAGATATCCAAAGGAAAAGTAGAAAAATATAGAACTTTCCTACATTTCATTTGCAGAAAATTATTAAATAGCTGTTGACTACCAAGTACATACCAAAACTATACCAGGTTTGGCATACCTCCAGTAATATCATGAACAAAGAAAGAACAACAACAACAGAGTATGAAGGGAGTATCTCTGAAGAGAATTCCTAGAGGGCTGCAGGTAATAATGGTCACAAGTCTAACACCAGGACTATCTTAGTGAACTTGAACTCCTATGAGGCAAAGAAATTCTTACACTTTAACTAAACCCATCACACTTACATATTAATATAAGTGACAGGTCTGCTTCCTGGGGCAGAGAACAGGGTGAAGTATGAACAAAAAGAATCC